TGAAGGACTTTTACAAATTATCGTAATTATATTAAATCGTTTATAACATACCTTTTCTTGTAGTTTCTGATGAAGCTCCTTTATCTCAGTTTGCATCATTGCAATTGCCTCTTTTTGAATTTCGATCATTTCGTCTCTATCTTCTATCTGCAAGGACAATTTTGTTTCGTTAATTCTTTTAATGATTGTATTATATCGAATGAAATTCTCATGAAATACAAAAAGGTAATTGTTTTATCTTCTTCTCCGATAACGTATACCGAAGCGAATATGTACTCATTTTTTAATCGGTGTAATCAGCTACATTTTTACTATGCTTTAAAAATTGTGCAGTGTAAAAAAAAAAGAGCAATAAGAGCTAAAACGTTTATATAAATCAATGCAAAATGCAAAATTTATTAGAAAATAGCATTTCCTAAAATTTATTAACATGTAAACCCAATTTGGCCCACCGTAAAGTAACCTGTTATAAAAATGTATATAATTATAACACTTTCCTATCATCGAAGAATAAGAAAGCTGGAAAAAGCTTTACAAAGTTAATCAACTGACAGTCTTTGTAACTGTTCGTGTATTTCCACTACAGTGATAATAAATTATACTTACGAGCTTATTTTTGGAATGTAAAGTATTTTCAAGTTTTTCGATTTCATGAGAACAACTGTCTAATTCATCTTCGCATTTTTGTAACTTGTCCGTTAGATTCATAAGTAGTCTTGCAGATGAACAAAAATTAGATTGGCCTTCGTAAATCTGCAAATATATTATCTTCAAATATGATAAGCTGTGTATAAAGCTTCAAATGCTGTAATTTATTTAAAAGATTTTATACAAACCAATTTTTTAAACTCTGTCTTAACATCCTGTATATCACGTTTGGTAGATTTTATGGTGTTTTCCAAGATTTTAAATATCTGTGGTACAGTCTGTAACACATACATGAATTCGATACAATAAAGATATTAAGATATACACGTTACATCGAACAATTTATATGCTATTTACCATTGTATCGTGTTTAACTTGATTACAACCATATCGTAACAATGATTCTTCGATACTACATTCGTTTTTCTTAATACAACATAAGAAAAATATTAGTATCTAATATATCAAACAAATATGTATTACAATTTTAAATCGAGAGACTTACGAAGGAATTCAGAAATTCTTTCGATTTGTTGAATTCTGCTTCACTCTCGCGTAATTGTTGTCGAAGTGTACATTCCCTTTCTTCTTGTAATTTAAGCTATATATAATTTAATAATATCTTAATATTAATATCTGCATATTTCATAACAAATATTTTCAAGTTTAAGTAATAATTACTGTATTTTCTAATTGTATGATCTTTTTCTTTAATTCTATGCTGTCCACGGAATGAGATCGTTTGTAGTTTTCTGCCCTTAATCGTGCGGAACGAAGTTCCACCTCCGTCGATTCAATACTACTTTTTAAAAACTCGTTTGTCTCTTGTTTGCATTTTATCTAACAGTAACATGTATAAACAACGAATTAGAATATTAATATTATTGTTGCAATAGAATATAAAAATTTAATCCTATTTCCAAATACCTCATGTTGTAATATTTTAACTTGTCCCTGTAAATCAATAACTCTGGACTTCCATAGGCATTTATCATCGCATTCTGTTTGAAGCGTTTTCTATAAAAATTAGTCATAAATAAATAAACAACATCACTTATATAACAAATGATGAAAAATGATAACTCACTTGTGACATTTTGTACTTTAACTCGTCATGCCCCTTTTTTAATTTGTGCAAATCCTGTTTAGTTTGCAATATTTCATTCCAAGTCTAAAATGATGGAGTATATAATAAATTATAAACCTAATAAACTTGATGCCTGAATAAAATATCCTATGTGCAGCATAATCATTAAATACCTGTGTATATAGCTGAGATTCTGCACCGTTACTGTCGCATGTCTACATTTTAATTAAAATAAGAATAAACATATTTAATATAAATACATAGTAAGCATTATCACTACACATTTAACACTCAATTGGTCAGGTGGAATGTTCCTGAGAGCTCATGAATTTTTAAATAAATTACAACATATTTATATTTAGTATGATTAAAATTATAATTATA